TAGCAAAAATACCTAGGAATAAACCTATCCAAGACGGTAAAAAACCTGTATGCAGAAAACTACACAACACTGAAGAAAGAAATCAAGGAAGACACAAAAACATGGAAACATATACTGTGTTCATGGATTCGAAGAACTAAGATAATCAAAATGTCCATACCACCCAAAGCAATTTACAGATTCAATGAAATCCCTATTAAAGTAGCAATGACATATTTCACAAAATAGAACAAACAGTTCAAAATTTTATATGGAACCATAAACGAGCCCGAATAGCAGCTGCTCTTTTGAGAAAGAAGAACAAAGTAGGGGGGATCACAATACCTGATATCAAACTGTATTACAAGGCCACTGTAATCAAAACAGCCTGGTACTGCATAAAAACAGGCACATAGACCAATGGAACAGAACAGAGAGCCCAGAAATAAACCCAACTCTCTACAGTCAATTAATATTTGACAAAGGGGAGAGTAACATAAAATGGAGTAAAGATAGCCTCTTCAACAAATGTTGTTGGGAGAACTGGACAGCTACATGCAAAAAAATGAAGCTTGAGCACAGACTTACACCATACACCAAAATAAATTCAAGGTGGATAAAAGACTTAAATGTAAGTTGTGACACCATTAAAATCCTAGAGGAGAACATTGGCAAGAAAATCTCAGATATTTCACGCAGCAACTTTTTTACTGATATGTCCCCTAGAGCAAGGAATGTAAAGGAAAGAATAAACAAATGGGATCTCATCAAAATAAAAAGCTTGTGCATGGCTAAAGAAAACAGTATTAAATTAGCAAGACAACCAACTGCGTGGGAAGACATATTTGCCAATGATACCTCAGACAAAGGTTTAATCTCCAAAATATACAAAGAACTTACACGGCTCCACTCTAAGAAGACATCTAACCCAATTAAAAAATGGGCAAAGGATTTGAACAGACACTTATCCAAGGAGGAACTACAGAATATTCAGAGACACATGAAGAGATGCTCAATATTGTTAGCTATCAGAGAGATGCAAATTAAAACCACAATGAGATACCACTTTACACCAGTCAGGATGGCTATCATAAACAAAGCAACCAACAACAAATGTTGGAGAGGTTGTGAGGAAAAGGGGACCTGAGTTCACTGTTTGTGGGATTGCAGACTGGTGCAACCATTATGGAAAACAGTATGGAATTTCCTCAGAAAAATAAAAATCGACCTGCCTTTTGAACCAGCAATTTCACTGCTAGGATTATATTCTAAGAATCCTAATACAACAATTTCAAAAAACCTATGCACCACGATGTTCATAGGAGCACAATTTACAATAGCTAAGAGCTGGAAGCAACCTAGGTGCCCATCAGTAAATGAATGGTACAAAAAAATGTTGTACATATACACAGTGGAATTCTATGCAGCAGAGAGAAAGAAGGAGCTTCTACCCTTTGCAACAACATGGATGGAACTGGAAAGCATTATGCTGAGTGAAATAGGCCAGGTGTTGAAAGACAAATACCATATGATCTCACCTTTAACAGGAAGCTAAATAACAAAACAAACAAACAAGCAGAATAAAAACAAAATCCCCCTGAAATAGAGAACAGGGGGACAGTGACCAGAGGAGAGAGGGGAGGGAATTTAAGGGGGGAAAAAGGGGAGGGATTTGGAGGAACATGTATGAAGGACAAAAACTAAGGGGGGTGGAAATTGGGGGGAGGTGGGGAGCATGGGGCAGGGTGGGCAGGGATGGGAAAAATAGAAAGAAAACTGTACTTGAAAAATAACTAAATAAAAATTTTTTAAAAAGTTAATTTACAACTAGATCACAGGCCAAAATATCTAATTGCTAGTGTCCTAAACAAGTAAGATTCACAATTATATTAGGAATGGGTAGGAGGGAGATTATGATAAAATTGAAGAATGTAGACCAGTCTAGAGCAGGAAGCTAATGCTTAATTCCAGCTGATTAGAGCTGTGATGAACTACAGCCTGTCTGCTAAATTGATAGCTTTGTGAAGGACATTTAGAATTTGAATGTTAAATTTCTACAGTTTTTAGTATTAATTACTAATGAAATTTTAAAAAAACTGAATATGCTTGGTAGATTATTATTCTACAAATTCTGTTCTAGATTAATGGTATCTAAACACTTATTAAATAACTATTATTTATTTTTCAAATAGTTTTTAAAAGATTTATTTATGTATTTTTAGAGAGAGGAGAAGGGAGAGAAAAGAGTTGGAAGGAAACAGCTATGTGGGGTTGCCTCTCATGTGCCCTCTACTGGGGTCATGGTCTGCAACCCTGGCATGTACCCTGACTGAGAATCGAACCAGTCAGTATTTGGTTCTCAGGCCCATGCTTAATCCATTCAGCTACACCAGCCAGGGCTCAATAACTATTTTCAAAACCAATTAAATTTTATTTCTTTGGAAGTCCAATTTAGCTAGTAACCACTACTTACAAGAAACTCTTAAAAATATTTTTTCTGAATCTTTGTAAAGAAAATACACAATATTATGTGTATTGTAAAAACACTAACTAAACTAATTACAAAACCCTGAAGTGAGCCAAAAATATTTTCCTGACAGCTAGTCAGAGAAGATTCCTCATATTTTATCATAAAAACAGTCCAAGTTATAGAATACTCATAGTAATCATCAGTGTCTGTGATATTTGGTGATGTTAAATTTGGTTTTGCATGTCTGAATGTGTAAATATTTCCTTGTAGAGAGAATGCCTAGACTCTGTTGAACATGATGTCTGACTCTATTGGCTCCTTTTCACTTGCTGATTTGCAGTGTAAATGCACCAATTTTCACCATACCTGATTCTATCATGTAAAGTAGATGCAATATATATTTCAAATGTTTACTTTCATAATTTCAAATTTGTGAAATTTATGTTCTCTAATACTGCAGTGTTGGGAACCACTCTGCCTGGTTTCAGGAGTTGTAACTGCCCCCCATGGATAAGGCTGAGTGAGCGACCTCAGGACTGTGAGCCACTAAGGAGACAAAGCTTATCTCCCTGGCAGGAGCACTGCTTCTGCTACATTCATCTCTAGCCACCAATGCTTGGTTGGTTAGTCAGAGACGGGTAAGACCCCTCAGAGGGGAGACAACCTAAGCCAGACACAATCACTTGGGAGGCCCTCAAGGAAGGACTTGGGGGGGCTGCAGTAAAGAGGGGGTAATGGACCCTCACCCCCAGCTATTCTGACATAGCCTGAGTCCCCATGTACTCTGGGAGAAGCGCTTCATGGCTTGTTGTAGACCACTCTGCCTAGTTTTAGGAATTGTATCTCTACCCCCTGTGGCTAAGGACAAGAGATGACCTTTGGAATGCCAGCTGCAGGAGACAAAGCCTGTCTCTGGTAGCAAACGCTGCCTCAGTTTCCTCTCCCTGCCCCCAGAGCTTGATCAGAAGTCAATGACAGGTAAGACCCCTCACAGCATGGGGCAACCTACGCCTTCATGGAAAGACTGGGGGGTTGGGGACTGCAACAGAGAACAATGGACTCTCGCCCCCCAGCTTTGTCAAAGCCTAAGTCCCCATGTTCTCTGGGAGAAGTGCTTCCTGGCTCTAATCCCCTTAAGCCTGAATACCTGATGGGGAGAGGTGCAGCTCCTTGCCTGGCCAGAGCATGCCCTGGGGAAAAATCTGGCACCACAAAGACTTGCTGATAAACCTGTGAAATCTGCTCTGCTAATAGTGCTTTCATTCATATATGATAAGGGTCCGAGAGGAAATGAGTATGTCTCCCAAAGTTTCTGCAACTCTCTTCCTGATAGACACTCACTCAGATTGAAACCCTCAGACCTCTTTGAAATGTTATCTACTGTTTGATCCTTGCCACCCTGTATTCCTGTGTATTACAACCCAATAAAAGGCTATGGAAAAAGGAGCTCAGGGCCTTTTTCTCCTCGGAGAAACTGGCCACTGCTGGCCTCTTTCTCCCCAGAGAAACTGGCCACAGCCCACGCCTCCATACCCAAACAGACCTCATCTTGTCTCGGCCCTATTTATTCACTCACCCATGTTCATGGCACTGGGGGGACCTCAAGAAAGTGGTCACCTCCACAATGGCTCTAATCCACTTAAGCCTAAAAAACTATGATGGGGAAGGTGGTGTAACACTTTGCCAGCTAGAGCAGGTTCTGGGATGATCAGGCATAAGAAAGAATTTGTAAAATCCTGTGAAGCCTGCTTTGCTAAGAGTGCTTTCATTCATATGATGAGTCCAAGCAGGAAATTAGTGTCTCCCAAAGTTTTTGCAACCCCCTCATCTGACAGACACTGACTCAGATTAAGCCCTCACATTTCTTTGAAATGTTATATACTGTTTGATCCTTACCACGTGACATTGATTGATGAGCTTTACCTATATTCCTATGTATTATGAACCTAATGAAAGCCCTTGAGGAAGGGGCTCTTGGTCTTTCTCCTTTGAGAGATTGACCACCTCTCCTTCTGAAGCAGATCATGTCTTGGCAGTATTATTTTCATCTGTGGCAGACAGGGGGACTTGCAGGCAAAGTTGCCCCCATACTTCACACCTATACAGTCATTTTCCTTTCAGTCATAATGCTGTTCTTTAGCCTGTGGTGTGCTTGCATTCACTGGTCAACAGTGAAAGCAGTAATACAGAGCAGAAAGAATGATGAAAGCATAAATGAAAAAGGCCTATGATTATGTTGAAAATAAAAGTAAAATTAACTCCACATAGATGTGCAAATAGTATCAACATCTTTGTTCAAGCACACCTCACACTACTATCTCATGGTTTTTTCTATGGGATAGAGATGGCGAGAGAAGCATTCAATTTGTTAGAATTTGGTGCATAACATATTCAATTGTCAATTGTGCCTTTTAATTAAATTATAGAGATTAAAGCATATATAAGAGTAAATTATGAACAACATACTTGTTGAATGCCCAAACCATATTCCTAAAACTATTATACCTACAGCACCCCATTAACCAGTTTGTCTAAGTGCTGTCCTACTCACCAATGAGATACATTCCAATCCAGTCTCCAGCATCTACTTCCTCCTTTATATCCCAGTGGATCACCAAGTCCTGGGAGTGTCCTATGGCATAGTAGGAGCTGCTGACCATGAGTGTGGAACGGCTGTCAGAGGTAACCAGGTCAGTGTCACTGGTAGAACGGGAGATGGTGACAGTGTCTTGGGGGCCAGTCCTGATGGCCATGCTGTGGAAATTGCTAGGGTTGTAGCTGTGGTGAAGTGGCTCCTTACAGCGGCGCCGATTCTGAGAGTTTCTAGATGGAGATGCCATGGCAGCCAGGCCCAAAAACCTGTTCTGGTACAGATTCTGTGGGGACAAACAGACAATAATCAAGGACAGAAGATCCTAGCCACAAGGTCATTCATGTCACATAAAATGAAGGATGTGCTAGGAGAAAGGAGCTGTGAGTGAGCAGATCCCTAAGAAGCTTTGAAACACAAGAGCACCCTCCTCAGGACAAATACTGTGACTCTGAGTTCACATAAGGCAAGAATGAAAATGTGAGCCCATCAAGGATTTTTGCTTTTGAAACTTTCACTCTGCAGAGTGTCTCTGGACACCCAAATCTTGTATAAGGATCTGAGATACACTAGTATTCCTCAAGCACCATCATTTTCAATAAGATCAGTGTCTCCCTCAAAGCCAATGTTATTGTCAAAGAACATTGTCTCTGGTGGGAATAAAAAATGCATATGATTTATTATTTTTGTTTTACAACATTGAGTACATAAAATGAACTGAATTGATTCAGAGCAATATCATAATCATTTTGGATTCAGATAGTTTGCAGGATCGAGTGTAAGGGGGATAAATGGTAATGGATAAAATATTTTTAAAAACATGGGGAAAGACCATTATATAAAATATGTCATGGATTCATTTTGAAACAAGCAAGGATGATTCACACTTCACCAAAGAGTGCTAAAATTGGGATCTAGGTGCACATTTTAGAAGTTCTTGACTAAAATACACCGTATTCTATAACAACATTTTTTGTTTTTAGAAAAGATTAAAGTCTAAAAATGTGTTGAATCATGAAGTTTAGACCTCAGGGACTGCAACTTATATACACCAATCAAATGCATATTACTGAATTTTTGTCTTACCAGTCATGAAAACCAGACCTCAGCACCAGTCTATTATTTAGATTACATAAGTGTATTTAGCAAAAAGTTAGGCCTGTACTTTTTCTACTTTCCAAGACCAGGGCACTTGTTAAAACATAACTAACCTGATAAAGCCAAGTGTTTGCATCCTGACTCTTGGTCCTTAATCATACATAGCTTGGAGATACAAGATGGCAGGGGAGTAAGTGGAAACTACACTAACCTCCTCCCAGGACCAATCTAAATTCCAAATAAATTGTAGAGAAATCATCCGGAAACCAATTTAACAATACCTGGATATACCTTATAACCATGGACAGACAGAAGAAAACTAGTGTAGTCACTTCACTACAATGTGACTGGTACAGAGTGCAGAAGAGACACAAGAGGACTGGCTGGTCACCCACAGATGGCAGTTGAAGAGCTAGAGAGATATTTAAGCAGCTGGGAGGATCCCCCTGAAAAGATGGGGTCTAAACCCCAAGCAGGACTCAACAGCCTACAGCACCAGAGTCAGAAAGGACTACAAACTTCCATCTATAAAAAGCGGTTGGGTTTCTGTCTGCCAGGGAGAGATGGCTGGAGACAGAGAGTACCTTAAAGGGTCAAAGCATAGAAATTCATTTTCAACCACTTACCCTGAGTGAAGGAAGAGGGAGGGAAGACTGGACTAAAGATGCTTGAGGAGAATCTGGGGCTAGGAGCACTGGAAAAGAGGGAGGGAGCTGAGGGAGCAGCCACCAAGATCCCTGTGCTCAGTCATTCCCCATACTGCAAAAGCCATATTACTCAGTCAGAGCATTCTTCTCTAACAGGCATCAGCCTGAGGGGGACCAATAGCCTGGCCCACAGGAATTACTCTGCCCCACCCTGTGGTGCTTAAGCTTAACTGCTGAATACATATAACTAGATTAACAAGTGAAGTAGACAGGCACAAATTATGGATCACTGGTAGTCTTGAACAGGCTTACGAGGGCCAGGCTTAGACATCATCTGACATCACCAGTGGCAGATCCAGAAAAGGAAGACAGTAGTAAATACTAGGTAATACTGAGATGAATTCCAACATAGTCTTCTTCATGATTTGCATAATTCCCTCTCTTGCATAGCCTTTTAACATTAATTTATTGTCCTTCAATTTTGTGCCTATTAGGTCACTAGTTTTACTTTCTTTCTCTCTTTGCCTTGTCTCTATTCCCTACTCTTATTCCTCTTTCCTATAAGCTGACAAAATCATTTTTCTTTCAGTTAGTCATCTCATATTTATTTTTCCTTTATAGAATAGTCTCAATTTCTTTACACCTTTATTAATAATGGTTCATTTGCTATTGGTGGTAGGATCATAGGTGGGTGTTATTTTTGTGAGTGTGGGTTTGTTTTCTGGTTGTTCGGTTTTCTTCTGGCAGCACCTGTACAATAGGATACAAGAAATGGTAGGTGGAGAGACTCTCAATCAGCCAGCTGCAGAGAAGGATTCACCAAAAGAATGATCCAACAACAATCTAAACCCAATTACAACAAGAAAGCTCACATAAATGGCCTAAAGGGCATCCCAAAATCATCAAACTCAGGAGATCAAGGAGACTGCAGCACTTAATTCCACAGGTCTCCTACCACAGGTCACATCATGAAGAGAGGGAGTCAAAGTACATCAATCTAATACACAAAAACAAACAAGAGGATTGTAATATTGGTTGTAATCATTCAAATCATTTATGATTAAAATGCTCAGCAAAGTGGGAATATAGGGCATGTACCTCAACATAATAAAAGCCACATATGAGAAAACAACAGCTAACATCATACTCAGTTGGGGTGCTAACATCAGCATCCCAATGTTCATAGCTGTACAATTTACAATAGCCAAGTGCTGGAAACAGACTAATCAATAAATTAGTAGATAAATCAATGAATAAATAAATGCCAATCAATAAATGAGTAGATTAAAAAAAACTGGCACATTTACACAATAGAATACTATGCAGCAGAAAGAAAGAAAGAAGAAACTCCTAACCTTCGTGACAGCATGGATGGAAATGGAGAGTATTATGTTACGTGAAAAAAAGCCAGGCAGTGAAAGACAAATACCATATGATCTCACCTATAAGTGGAATATAATGAACAAAACAAGCAAACAAATAAGCAAAGTAGAACCAGAGACATGGAAAGAAGGAACAGAGTGACCGACCAGAGGGGATGAAGGGTGAGGATAAGGGGAGAACAAATGGGAAGTGCCTAGTTAAAGAAAAAGTATAAATGACCCATGGACATGGACGAGATGGTTGGGATGGACTATGGGAATGGGGCTTGGGCATGGCAGTGGAGGACAATGCAGGGGGAGAAACTGGGACAACTGTACCAGAACAACAAAAAATGTGAAAAAAATAAATGTAAAAGAAAATGCAAAAACAAAAAAGAAGAGTTTTTCAAAACATATTTTTAAATGATCCTTACTTCTTAGAATTCTTAAAAATCTACCCAATATTCTTAAAGTTAAACAATACTCTGATCTGTTCTGGCAAGTCTGGCTTCTATTTTTTCCTTGGTATCTGTGTTCCAACTTAAACTGGATCTTTCAGGTTTTCGCATGACATGATTCTTCTTACCAGTGGACCTTTGCACACAGGTGAATCTTCCCTGCTCTTTGCCTAGCTAGGCTCAGATAATACTTTCTTCACTAGGGCATACCACTGATATTTGTCCCTAAAGCATATTGTATTCTTCCTCCACATATCCTTTCTCAATTTAAGATAACTTTTTATTGCCTTTTGACTTTAATTGTTCTCTATGAGGAGTCAGCCATCATTTTTTGTTATTGTCTCACTCTATGAAATATGTCAATTTTTCCTGTGACTGCTTTTATAACCTTTACTATTGATTTTAAATGTTGGTTATGATGTGTATAGGTGTGGTTCCTTTGTATATCTACTACTTAAAAATCACTGAGATCTTGGATTTGTAGACTGATGTTTTCTTATCATATTTGAAAATTTCCAGATGTTATTTCTTTAGTATATCTTCTGGCCTGTTTTCTATGTCTACTCATTCTGGGATTCCACAATCATGTATATTAGACCAAAGTGTTTTATAATGTTTTGTCTCTGTGCTTTAGTTTGAATGATATTAATGAATCTTCAAATTCATTGATCCTTTTTCATAGTTTCTATTATTCTGTTAATACCATTGTTATAAAAATGTTTGTGTTCCCTTCAAATTCACATTGAAACCTAGCCCACAGCAGCAGATGGGGTCGTTGGGAATTGATTAAGTCACAAACGTGAAACCCTGGTAAATTAAATTAATAACCTTATAAATAGTCCCCAGAGAAATGGCTATGTAGGAACCAGAAAGTGGACCCTCATCAGATACCAAAACTGCCCATGCCTTTATCTTGGATTTCCCAGCCTCCAAAACTGTGAGCAACACATTCTGTTGCTTGTAAATCACCCATTCTATGGCATTTTTGTTATAATAGCCCAAGAGACTGAGACACTCATCTAATGTATTTGTTTATTTAAGATGTTCTATTTTAGAATGCTGTTTGGTTCTGTTTTATAGTTTCCATTTTTCTGCTAAGATTCTTTATCTATTCCATTCTGTCCATGTTTTTCAGAAAAAAATGAACATATTTACAATAGATGATTTATAATCTATTTTTAATTTATTATATTAATTAACTAGAATATTGTGCTTTCCCTTCTTGACTTGTAATTATAGGTTTTCATATATAAATGCAATTTTTATAAGAAGTAGATTTTTAGAGTAAGTGTAGAGAGATGCTATTGGGCAGCCCAGTGAGGAATGACAAAATGATCTAAAAGAAAGTAATTACATACTGCTTCTTCTAGTGATACCAAAAGGTTCCAGAGCTATAAGTGACTGTGGAGACAAGTTTAGATAACAGGGTTGGTTCTGTGGTTTTCAAGTACAGAATGACCATTCCTATGGGAGGTAGGACCAGTGCTAAAAGAGATGAGAGATAATAATGCAAAAGAGGTGGACTTGAGAGGGCTGTTTTCCTCACACATTTTCACATGTGATGTTCCAAAGTAGCTGAAAAGCTGAGCCCTCTGGGGGCAGGGGAACAATGGTGGGGTAGGCATGGAAGTTTTTGTTGAGGCTTATGTGTGTATAATGTCAGTGGCTGTATATTGACTTAATATTTTATAGGTGTGTTTTCTAGTACATTCTGCTAAACTC